GGGCGGCACCGCCAGCTCAGCAACTTGTGTAGACACAAGCAAGCAGGCAAAACAGGAGGATATAAAGATCTTCACCAATTTTCTAAAATAAGTAGAATAAAAAAAAACCCAAAACAAAACACTGCGGATGAAGAATAATAATAAAAAAACCAAAAACAAATCAGACTACATCAGAAGTATTTCCAGGGGGCACTATGGCGGACGAGGACGGAGCACGCTGGTTTAGAATTGTGACTCATGATGTTGCTAAAGTTGGCTATTTATTAGTAGTTTTTTCTTTGTTTACAACAACTTTATGAGTCATAAACTGGTAATAAGAAGAATGTCCTCACCATGTCCATTACATCATTTCTGTGTCATCAGGATGTTGTTCTTTTTTTTAATACTGTTTATGTGTTGTCAAAATAGTGAAGCTGTTTCATATAATAAGGTTAGTGTTAAACAAGGTTGTTATTATTAGTATTTTTTAAAATGCGCTTTAGTTTATCTGAAGTAGACGTACATATCATGAACACTAACTTGTTACACAGTGTACACAGAGGATTTATTAGCCTTCCCCTCAGCAATAATCATTAGCACTTTGTGCAAGAAGAGAAATTTAAGAAATACATTAGATGTGGGTTGTTTATCTATTTTAGGTTAAATAAGTAAATAAGATTATTATTATATGAGACTTAAGTTAAAATGAACAATAACGGGCGACTAATGAACAAGGTCTGCATATAAATGTGATTTTAGAGGGTAACCATCTAAAACCTTTCTCTGCTGAAGGCAGCTATGGTGAGGTGGGCATTAGCTAAGACAGAGTGAAAGTTACAGATGCGACTTTTGCCTTTCTCTGTTTCTGGAGGCTCATTTTGCTTTTAGTTGTGAAATAAAACAAATTGATGGCCGGTTACAAATTTCACTCTGTTCAGAGGGAACACCAAATATACCAACGATTAAGGCTGCGTCCACACTAGCCTGGATGGATTTACGTCTGAAAACGCTCCGCGTCCACACTACTCGTTTTCACAGAGTTGTGCGTCCACATTGAAACGGCTGAAAACGCTTACGTTCCAGTACTGCGCATGTGTGAAGCACAAGAAGATTCGGCTTGCTCATTTACGTCTGCCGCTTACTTACTTTCCAGCAAAATGTTGAGGAAAAGCACCGAGTTTTTTAAATGGACTAACAATGAGGTGGAGTTGATGCTGCGAGTAACACAAAAGCACAAAGTCGCAAAAGCCAGTGAGAATAAAAGAATTTGAAGAAAAGCCATCTGGAGCATCTACAGACTGATATTAATCTTTAATAGGGCTGCCCTCCACTATCTTGGTTTAACTGGTTACATGACTGCATCACATGAGTAAAATGTGTCATAATTTTGAAAAAGTCTCAGTTTTCACTGTCGGTGCTTCCGCGTCTTTAAATGTATTCATTTTCGACAGCGTTGTGCAAACGCTGCGTTTTCCTTGAGTGTGGATGGGAGGCCACAACGGAGAGAAACCAAGTGTACAAAGCCTAATGGATACAGCTACGACAAGCAGCTTCACATTGTGGCAAATTACTCCGTAACTAAACTAAATCAGACTTCAAAAGCCTCCAGTAAAGCCGTGCATTTCAAATACAGTTTTTTTCTTACAAAAAGCCTAAATTTACTGTAAGTCAAAGAAAAAAAACAAAAAGAAGACTAGACTTAAACAAAATGTTGTTGTAGGCATATTCTGAAAGATGATAACTAATGTAAAAATAACAATAATCTATATTTTGTTGTTTTTTAGAATGTAATTGTAAAATACAATGATTTTCATATCATTTCAACCTTCTAATTAATCTGAGCTTTTATAGTAAAGCCTGACATATCTCAAGAGCAGCAGCATTTTATGTAACAGGTCATAATTATAACTGTATTAATATCAGCTCTCTTCAGGACTTCACCCGTCCAATGGAAGTCATGAAGAGAGCTGATCAATAAGTTCACTGCTAGTTAATATTTCCACTCAAAGCTGTGAGAAGAGCTGGCAGTTCGGCCTCGGCTCACCTGTCTCAGGGTCACACTGATGCTCGCAGGGATCCAGGAGGCGTCGTCCACACAGCTCGTTCACCCACGGCCCGCTGGCATTCTGCTGATAGTACAACAAAATCTGGGCCGGGTTGAGCCAGTCTGAAGCATCCAACTGGCTCCCCTGGAGCAAAATGAACCTTGACCCTGGGTAGGACAGAGGAAATGGTAGACACGGAAGAGAAGGGAACAGGAAAGAAATGTGAAATGGATAAGATGGTTGAAGAGGAGGACAAAGGTAATTGACGGGTAACGAAAAGATGGCAGGAATGGAGACGGGGGAGGGCAAAAAGCAGGGATGAATGAGAAGGAACGAAAAACAGAACAGGACACGTAAAAAAGCCTGACTTTGAACAAAATCTTCAAAGCAAATTATCATATTTATCATGTTTTTTTTACCACTTATTTCTTTATATTTTCTATCATTTCTAAAACCATTTAACAACAACAGCAAAAAGACAAGGTTACAGCACATATTGGACCTTACAAGTGAAATATCTTCAGCTAAATATAATGACAGCAAGCACCACCTTTTAGTGAGGCAGTTTCTACGAGAGAAAAACAAATGAGGAAACCTTCAAATTTAATTTTTTGAAAAGAAAATGTGATTAAAAAATACCAGATTTAAAATGAAGTGGATCTGGAAAGAACATGAAAGCTTTATAAGACATTACTTGTTATTTTTAGTATAAGAGCCATAGTGCAAACATGAAAGCTGCAAAATTGAAAAGCAAAACTTGTGAACACTCCGAAAGATTTAAACAGAGGAATATCCATAATCACACAAATAACATGTGTAAGGCATGATCAGCTGGATTTCCAAATGTACCTTGACGAGGTTGATGGTCTTGGCTGATTGAACCACATAACTATAACTGGGTGGGCAGTGAAAAACATTTGATTCTTGCTGTTTTTGTTGTTTTTTTCTATTATTACTGTGGAGAAAATAGAAGCAGTGAGGGCAGAACTGGCATCTTGACCAAAACAACACATTCTGAAATCTTTAATTGTAAGAAAGATCTTTGCTACTTCAAATCGCATAAAGGTGACTGTTGCTGTGATTTCATGCCATAAAAAATTAATAGTTATTCATGACTCTATATTTGCTTACAAACTGTATAGAGTAAATGCTGATACAACACAGCATTTACAGTGCATTATATTATGTCAGTGAAAGCCAAATTGAAACAAAAAAGTCTACATTTTCTCCCAGAAAACAGTTTTTTGAACCAAGGTCTCAGGGTTTTTGTAAATCGATTGTTATAGCTGTCAAATTCATAACATTTAACATAATTCCGTGCTGTGCATCTCATCTCTTTCACTCACATTGTTCAGTGTTTGGCCCTTCTTTTATTTTAACAAAGTATGGCTGTCTGTGAAACAAATGTTCCCCGACCCTGAGAAGTCCTCCGCAGTGCTCCTCTTTCTTATTAGTGGTTGTTATGACACAAACAAAGCATCAGCTCAACGCTTTCTCTGTAATAATAAATGCATAATAATGATTATTGGCACGACTATGGGCCGACACGTAATTCTGAAAAGGTTAAAGATGAGAGAGTGCAGCTGTAAATGAGTTACAGTCGCGTTGTTTGTTTTCTATGTAAATTTCAAAGTTTGTGCATCTGATCAGTGGAGGTAAAACTGTTGAGCACTGGGCTAACATTCTGTTGCCATAATGCAGGATAATGAGGCGAGGACTGCTGTTGTTACTGCTGCTGTTTAATTTCAAACCTTTCTACTTATGCTTTAATTACCTCGTGGTTGAAAGCTGCAGCACACAACTTCCCTCTTAAAAGGTATAATCAATTAGTTCCATTGAATACACTTAAAGACTGAGGTCTCCGGGGGTTTACAGCTCAAATGCTGTAAACTAAAGGGAGCTCGTATGCAAAATGTTTTCTACTGAGTTTGTGACTGCCTGGGAAAACAAAAGCACTCTTCCATGTTCCAGGACACCTGACACAGGAGGTGTCTCTGGAACACTTGGTTCTGAGAGTTATCCGCTGTGTGATCTCCGTAAATTAGCAACAACGCTCACTGACCAAAGCACTGTCCATTTGCAAACACGGGATGCACTGGGCATTTGCTAACCCAAGCATATTTAATGACTTGTTGGCAGGCTCTGTGTGCCCTAGATAGCGCCGTCCTCTTTGATGATTCCCTTAGAACTAGAGCACACACTGCAAATGGCTGGACTCATCCTGTTAGCTTAATTGTGGAGAGTCATAAAACTGCCTGGAAAAACTTTGAAGACACCAGCAGTGTTTCTGTTTTTATGACACTTTTTATGTTCTATTTGAGTTTTCTGGCAACTATGTATGCACTTTTGAAAGATGAAATGGATTTCTGTGTATAACATAAATGCTTTATATATGGTCTAATATACAATGAAGAATTCATTTATCAAAATAAGAAACTGTAGCCATCTTAATTGAGACATTCATCACATCGTGATGTTTGACTCTCACAGGGAGCCACGTAGGCCTGAACGGACTCCGAGACCAGAATTATTAACGTGAGCACCAGACTTAAGAGCAGAATGAATCGCCTGTGTGCAGCTCTTTGGTCACGTTTTAAATAGAGCAGTTATGTTGCGTTACTTTGTGCAAGTACATCACAAGTACAAAGAAAGATGGTGCTGGATTGCCATCCTCCAAAACCTTGGAACTTCTATATAAAAAAAAAAATATTATAGAGCTCTTAAATACCAGGCGCATTAGCTCTGGTGCACTATGGTAGCATGTTTAAAGGCTAGCACACTTAACATTACATTAAAATTTCACTCATTTGTGCCTATGTGCACTTTCATTGCTAGAATGGCAGTAGACTCTTGGTCTACTACTTGGTACTTTGTGCTTAACTTTTTGGATGTTTGCCTTCAAATTTCCCGAGGTTGACTCAAATGCCCAGGATCTGATGGATAAACATCTATAATGGCAGCATAATGGCAGCAGAGGCATGACCGGTAACATGAATCCCCAGCCACTACTCGGATGGGACTCTAGGCCACAGCATCGCTCCTTGAGATAGCTTCAGATGTAATTGGGAAACCTCTCACAGGAGGCACAGATGGTAAAAGTAAATCTATTTCCAGCAAATACAATCTGAGATGATAAACGTCAGCCACCTTTCTATTCCCGACTCTCCGAGTTAGTGATAGGAAGAAAAAGTTGGCCCTGTTCTTTGTTATGTATCTTGAAAAGCAGTAGATATTGTTATCCCGCGTAACTACACAAACATCTTCAGATGATTACTTTCCCAGACGTGAAAGGCAAGGAGAAAGGTGTGACTCTATATTTTGGTACTTTTCTTTCAATATTTGAAGTCAGACACATGTGCAGCTGTTGGCATTAATAGCTTCTTTCCACAGCGGTGGAATCCAGATTTTCATCTGATTCACCGTGACATCAAATCAAGTCTGATGAGACTGTGGAGACATTTATGGAAACATCCTAAATCGATCCCAGTTTTGTAATTCAACAGGCGAATTCGCCATCTTTCATCTCTCCTTTCAAAGTTCCCTCCCTCGATGCCTCCCTGGAATTTTAATATCACTGGCAGGCCAGCGTGTACCACCGGAAAGCAGCAGCGTTTCAAATCAAATCAGACCTCTAGATGATAGATGAGCAAGCCTAGTCACAGTCTATAATATATCTGGACTGCCAGCTCACTTCAGTGACAGCTGAAAAATGCCAACGAGCCAGCAGGAGCCAACACTTGGCTCCCGTGGTGCTATTTTTTTTTTGCAGGTACTACATTGAAATTCATTAGCGAGGTGGTTCAACATATCAGAAAGTACCAGGGGAAGCGCGATGGAGGTTTGGCTGTGGGTGGTCATTGCGACCTAGCAACGATGCGCTCCGATGCTTTGAGGGCACATCTGTTGTGCGCTGCGACATGGGAAACCCAGGCAGAGGGTGGTCGACCTGGCATTTACCTTTGTCTTCGAGAGAGCAAAGCAAATCAGCAGCTCGACCACAAAGCACAGGCACTCGGTTAGCGAGATATAGTGAGCCGAACTCCCCGGAGAGTAACGAGGAAATGCAAGCTCAGCGCTCCCTGGGGATGTGCTTGGAAAAAGGCTGCATCCACAGTCCGTGGCTGGTGTAAGGCCTTACCATCAGCAATGAGGTGCTCCGGAACATGTAAGATTACCCGGACTGAGAGGCTGCAGGACAGGTGAGAGGAGTAAACCAGGCCAATCACGCAGCTGATGACACTGATCAGAGTCAGGGTGGTCTTATTGATGGGGCTCCGAGGGGAACCTGCTGCTAGAAAGAAATGAGAGAGGGGGGGAGGAAGAAAAAGAAAGAGTAGAGAACTGTGAAGCAGATACCACACTTTTCCCCAAGAACCCCTCCATCAGTACATGCACACTATCACACAAACATGTACACACAATGGCTACACAGGGAGTCATTTTGCAGTTATTTTACAAACAAGCAAACAAAGACAAAAAACCCCAACAACATGGGCCTAAACCCATAACAAGGTCGTTAGGATCCAAACCCTCAAGCCTCTGGGAAGTTGACACAAGGCACGGCTCAGTGGCACAGAAATACAGTTTACCTACAAAGGGTTTTAACATCCACGCTGGAATGTGTGGAGGGAAAAAAGAGAGAGGTGGTTCTTCAAACCTTCCCTCTTTCCTCCACTTTCTCCCGAAAGTGAGAACTCTCCCCTTATCTCGTTTGCTCCCCAGTGCAATGCAGAAAGTGTCAAAACTGACCCCACACCCACGCATACGTGCACATACACACAGAAAAATATCACAGTGACCTTGAATGTAGTCACGCAGGCTTTGTTTAAAGTGCCTCGTTTTTCACTAGCTGAATAACTCTAGATCCCATTGTCACTTTTAAATTACTCTGGCAGAACTTTTTCATTCAAAAAATGCCCAAGGCAATCCTTTAAACAAAAGCCAAAGTAGAAAGCTGACCTATCGCAAAATGTTTAAAGCTAGTTTATTTAATCAAGTAACTTACCCAGAAACTGGATGCAGGGCAGAATTTCACCCCTTTGACTTCCCTTTCAGTTATTTTTCAGATTTTACAAAACCTCTCTTCAGCGCACATTTCTGCCTTCTATATGAAAGAGGGGAATGTCTCATTCTTCACATCCTTCTCTCAAAATTTTCTATACATGAAAAACAACTTTTGTCGTGCCACATGAGTCATCCTCTGCATCTAAACAACATAGTTCTATTCTTAAAGCTCAGTCTAATTAAAGGTGTTGGCTACACTTCTGGAGGCTTTGCTGTGTTTGTGACACCTGTGCACATGACGGGGGAATAATTGGCTTGGAGGCATCGTAACAGCTTGTAACGCCTTCCGACAGCAGCTATTATTTTGAGGCCAGTGTCACATTTTTTTACTTGAAAAAAGAAATCTTCTCTGTCTCTTTTCCACACCCCATTACTGTACATCAAAGTTGCAAGGACATGGCATGCTGACATATAAAGCATGCTGCACCACTTCACTATGACAGCATTTGCAGAGGATCCTGCTTAGAAATAATATTTGTGTGGAATATTATTTCAAAATAAGATGTTCTTTGGGTTGTAGATGCAACTAATGCCAAAATATTCTGTACTGAGGACCTCTGATCTCATCATCTTGCTTGATTTCCGTCAACAAGATTATATTCGGATGCACTGAGATCAGTTTCACATGCTCACAACCACTCTACACACACCTATGTATATACACAGCATGTGCTTCCCTTGGGAGTCAAACTGATGAGCACATACAACACCAGAGCCATCCGCTATATGCACTGTAAAGGTGACTTGTCATGCGTCGTGGCGATGGTAATACCATCAGACGGCGAGATTAACTGTCTGTAGGTGTATGAGTCCTCCTTACCCCCTGAGCCCCACGCGCTGTTGGCATTACCATTTCTCATACCTCGACTCCGGCGGCGACTGCGGTTTGGGTCGGTGTAAAAGGCCAGCTGAGGCTCGCTGTCTGCCTCCGTCCCAGAGTCCCCGTCTGGGTTCAAGAATGTTGAACCCGCTGTTGGATTCACACAAAAAATAGAAAAAGAGTTCTGGACCAGTGGTGGGGAATTTGTCCTCAAGTTAGCTTCACAGAGATGGCAGGAAAAAGCCAAAACTCACGATCAACCCACTGCTGGACGTCTTCTTCTTCTATCATCTACTGATGTGTCGGCTCATTTGTAATAAAAATCAAGCTGCAACTTTGAGCACTGTGTTTTCCAGTTTCTCTTTAAAATACTGTGTTTAGTTTTTATTTTTTTCCCCAACTGACACATTTTGAATTAGCCACATCCATGAAACAGCACATTAAAAAGAGTGCATGCTGGCTTAACTGGACTCGATCTGAATAAAATACTGATGTCACCTGTGTTAAACAATCAGAAGTGCATGTTTGAGTTTGAGACTACTGACTATTGTTTTAGCCTCTACTTTCATTTTTACTGTTGTGCAGTTGGATATTATTGGTGCTTGTCAGATATTAAGATTTGAAAAGTACACAGACGTATCAGGTGAGTTTCTAAAATTTCTAACATCAGGTAAATCTAACTCCAGATGAACAACAACACACATCACTATTTATTTAACACGAATTAAGCCAAAATGTAGAAGCAGCATATGTGCAAATTTAAGGGTAACTAGCTGCAAATCAAATGAACTAGATGAACTGATCAGTGAGCATGAGCACCTCCATAAATGCAACATGACAGTTTTGGCCAGTTTGCAGGTATCTCAGAGAAGCAACTGTTAACGGCCATAAATCTGGAAAATCTGGTTGTGAGGCCATTTTTAAACAATTTGAAGTCATTCTACTGTGGAAAACATAATGTGGTCATTATGTACCTTATTGGTGTATCCATGATGCACAAGGCTGGTTGTGTTCATGTTTTTTCCAAGGAAATATCAGGAATACATAAAAACATTTCAGCGCTTTGCCTTTTTGTGTGATTCTAAGATAGCACTACAATTAAGACCCTTGGAGATGTTTTAGAGAGAACTATATGAGGAGGAACCAGTCACTTGGAAGCAATAACAGCAAACTAAAATGCTTTTAGTAGAAACCATTGAATTTGTATCACACTGTTATAATGCTAAACTTTGGTTAGCTTGACAAGATCAAATTAAGACCACTGATCAACTAGAAGCAAAAAAATTCTTTCTGCTGTTTTTTTTGCTAAGGACTGCGATTTAGTGGGTCCTCCTAAGCACTACTGTCCATGGGTTTTATGGTGTGTACTTAGTATAATGTAAAATGCCAGGACCGCTCTGCATCAAAAGAGAAAAAAACTGGATGCACAAGCTTATGATTTTCTTTTTCTGACTTTGACTTTACAAAAACACAAAGCACGTTTCCTCCATCAGATACAAAGATGTACTACAAACCCTTTACAGCACCCTGTTTTACTGTCTATATACACTCAATATATACTCATTTAATAAAAGTGAAGATGGCAACACTTGTAAATATCTAAAGGTGAGCTATTGTGCTCACTTCCAGCATCATGATTTTACTCTTGTATTCTTCAGTAGCTGGGAATGATTCACAAATCAATAATCCTTAGTTATTTTATCCTGGGACTTTGGTTGGTCGTTGGCTGAAACAAGCTGTTTTACTTCTTCTCCCTGTACGGGCATAATCGCTTCAGGCTAACTTTATACTCGCTGTCCTGGTAAAGAAATGGTTTACCAGTAAATTAGCGGGTCTCCAGTGCTTACAAGGTGAGCTGTGTGACTTGACCGTATGAAGGGTATCACATTTCTAACATCATACGCAGCCAAAAGAAGGAGAAAATGTGTGAAACAAACATCTCACTTAAAGCAGGATGTGAAAATAAATGTGTCTAAAGATAATGTAAAAAAGCCACATAAATAAGATATTACGTGTTGACTCAAGGCTCAAAGCCTGAGGGCTGAACTGTGTGACACTGTTTCCAAGTTCATTCATTTCAAAGTATACATGAAGCAACAATGAGGCAGCAAGTAATATAAAAAACATAAACACTAAAGAAATACATGAAAACACACAACATATACTTTAGCTAGACAATCTCAACATGACTCCTGTTTTTCTGTGCTACATATTTTTCCTACACTGGAGGGAAAAACACAATCCATAAGACTTTGTCTCTACAAAGAGGAAGAGTGCAAAGTAAATGTTAAATAAAAAGAAGAATGTTCAGCTTTATCTGGGAGGATAATCCTTCTCATAACATCCAGTCATTAAAAAACTTACCCCGATTAGACTGTTATTAAAGCTAATGCTCTTAAGTATGAGGGTTGATTATACAGTAGGTGCAACACTTAAAAATAAACAAACTCTTCTCGCACAACAATATACCCACAGTGCATTTCAGCTGAGTGTTTTAGCTGAGGCATTAGCTATATTTAGGGGGCATGTATTGAAGCTTGTCTTACAAGTGTTAGCGGATTGCGAATCAAAAAGTGAGGGGGAAAATCCATCAAAGCAGCAAAGATTTGCTGCCTCAGCGGGACGTGTGAGAATCGAAATAAAATTCATGCTAACGTTGCTCTGTGACAAGAGCTTTAAAAATCCCCAACCAAGAGGCGGTGTTTGATTAAACTGGAGACGATCCCTCAGAAACAATGGGCCAATGAAAACACAGTTGGCAGCGATGTCAATGTGGCAAACGCAGAAGGACTTTTTCATGACAGCGGCTTCATCAGCTTTTCATATTGTTGGGGTTTTTTGAACAATGCGCACAAGATATGAATGTGCAGCGTAAATATTATTGGCAGCCATGACTATCTGACAGCACAGATGTTGGCGTTTCTTACTTCAGCCTTTTTAGATGACACCATTGTTTCTGCAGTGTTTTCCACGACTGATTTAATAATGAGGAATATTCACTGCACACTTTCCCCCCAGATATGTCTGCTGGCTGGAAACAGAGTCCTCTGGAACATTATTCAGTGTGCGCAACTAAAACTCTGTGAAGACAAATTAAATCTCTATGCCCTAAAGTAGGAAGAAGGAGGTGGGAAACACAGGCATGCTTGAATTACAAGTTTCACCAAAAAATATTAATAAAATAGAAATTTAAAATAACAAAACCAGTCTACTGTGTTTTTATCATGCATGTTTTTTTGGTTGCAACATCCTCCCAGACAGTCTTGGCAACAATGTTTGCACTACAGCTGGGGGATGAATTTAACTACATAACAAGAATCCTCCATAATTCATATTAAGAGCATCACTGCTGCTTTATTCGTGTGGATATGTACATGTACTCATTTAAATGAATTATCTTATAGGCTGCTGCAAAGCCTCAACAAAGATGGAACACATCAGCGCTTCAGCACTGTCACCATGGGTGGACTTTAACTGTTACTGGCCAGTTTGAGCAGCATATTTTTAGATGTAAGAGCAAATTTACATTTAAATTAATATTAAAGACAACACAAAGGAAGTTGAAGATTTGAGTAAATGTATGTGCTTAAGCCAAAGTCTAATAGAGGCCTTTTGCTGAGGACTGATGTCACCGTGACTGGATGAGAATAAACGTGGAGATTGACAGCAGCAAAAATTAAACAAAGAAGATCACCTTACTGTTACAGCAGAACAAAGGCTAATCATATTTGACAGTAGTGACTGCTATCGCTAGGTCAATATTGAACCATTCATTTATATATCCAGCAGAATACCAGTCACCTGACTTTGCAGTGCATGCGGGAAACTTTACATTGCTGAGAAGACAAAAAACCTTGCCTACACAATTGCCAGTCTATTAAATAAAATAAAAATGTAATAGCACTTGTGTTTTCTTAATTCTCAGTTTGGTTCCTTTTCATATTTTGCTGTTCTCTTCCCCCTGTCTCTAGTGTTTCATGTTTCCCTCCATGTGTTTGCTTCTTCCATATATTTGTCTCTTTTTTGTACTCGTTTTTGTCTTTTCTCACCTTTATTACTGTCTGCTCTACCTTATTTGTATTCACCTGTTCATGTTAGCTTGCTCTGTTATGTCTGTATTTCTTTCTTTGTGCTCTTTATCCCATGTGTCATTTCGTTGTGCCATGGATAATCCCTCATTTGTTTTTACTTTCTGCTGTGCTTTGCTTTGTTTAGTATGTGTGTGTGTGTGTGTGTGTGTTGACTTTTGATTTGGTGAAATCATATTGTTCAGTAAAGCTTGCTCTTAGTTTTGCATAACTGTCTTGACAGTAAATAATAGCAGCGATAGTACAGTCTTCCTCTTTGTAGAGAGACAGTGCAGTAGCATTTTGACAGCTTATGCAGTAGCAGACAGCAGTGCCATAGTGTAGTGGTTAACACGTTTGCCAGAATACATTTGGAGAATGCAAAAAGCCCAAGCAAAGACCAGGAGGAAATAAAACTCTGTGGAAGGATTCAACCCAGTATCACAGCAACTTGTGTAATAGTGTGTATTAGACAGACACGCATGCTTAAGTAAGTAATGCAGTAAGCTACAGCACCAGCAGAGGGAGATATTTAAACATTGCTAACACATTTACATGAAACTACATATCAGCCACCGAGCTTTATTGTGGCATAGACGGAGCATGGATTGTACTTGGTCACTAGCGACTTGTTGGCTTTTAATTTCTTCACTCCTCCTGCTGCTACTGCGGATCTACGTGCTGTGGCAATGAAAGAAAGACTCTTTGCAACCAGTTACAGTTGCCAGTTGCCTTATGTTGTTTTGTTTTGTTGCTCCCGGTAGAGTACTGAGAAAAAGTGTTTCAGAAAAAGCCATTTCTTTATATTTTGCTAGAAAAATGGGAAATAGGCAGAGTGAGTGACTGAGCACGGTTGTACAACTCTAACAAGCTTGACTATATAATAAGAATCATTAATCCATGACTGATAGTGTTCCATTGTGTGGCTTTCTAGCCGGGTATGCTTTATCCCTAGACTCCAGTTTCAGTGTGTTTGGCATCACTGTCATCCTGATAAATGAAACCATTGCCACAAACTTTCCAGACGGTATTTCATGATGGAGAAATACTTTTCTGTTTTCATAATTCCATCAGTTTGGACAG